GCGGGCGGGAGAGGGGGGGGGGGCGTCCTCTGTGTCTCCTCGCGGAGAGCTCGTCGGTGGAGGGCCGCCGCGCCAGCCGCGCGGGTGCAACGCTATAGGGCCGCTTTGCAACTCGAACTTTGCGCTTCTGTGTTTCCAGACCATCCAATCGTTCCTGCCCGGCATGCTCAAGAGAAACTCCGGGCACATCGTGGCCATCGCCTCGGTCGGCTCCTTCATCGGGGTGGCCAACTTCTCGACATACTGCGCCACCAAATACGCCGTCGACGGTAAAAAGCCGCGCGGCGGATGCTACCGAAGCTCATGCACCCAGAAAATGTTGGAATGCGTTAAATCAAGGATTTTTTCCTTAAGAAACCCTTGGAAACAATGAGACTGTCTTTTAAAACAGGCAAAAATCTGCCTTTTATTTTCTTTAGAGTAATTTCCTTGATTCAAGGCATACATTTTCTGGGTGTGGACGACGTCGTTGAGGGTATGCATCTCTGTAACACATCGGCACGTTTCTGATCCACAGGCTTGATGTCGTCCCTCCACGAGGAGTTCCGCAACAAGCAGAAGGACATCAAGCTGACCACCGTCCACCCGTACTTCATCAACACGCGGCCTGACCTCATCAAGGGCTGGCACCACAGGTCCGCTAATCTCTCCCCTTCACCCAAATCCTGTCGACTTTCATATTTTTTTTTAATACGTGTATCACCTTTCATGATCATCTCATTTGCCATGCCATGTATCACCCTCATCACCTTCATTCTGTGCAAGCCTATAGGAATCGCTGGTGGCGATCGCGTTAGATTGTGTCGCGCGCGCGTTCTGTGTTGACGGACTGGTGCGCGAAGTCCGGTGTGCGCACGTGTTGCCTGGGACAGCGCGAGTGCGACTGCAGCGTGAAGAAGAAGAACAAGAAACGGGGGTTGCGAGAGGGACTGGACTGAGGCTGTTGTGCTCCGCCTGACCGCTCCCCCTCCAAGGCTCCCGGCGTCGTGTCGGATGGGTGGCCGACGCGCCCGGCGCAGGCCCTGGCGAGAGGCGTCGCCGACCACGTCGGCGTCCTCGATCCCATCCTTGTCACGAACTCCATGCGCCTCATTTTCATCATCTTGACCATCTTGCATTGTCTCATGACTTTGATCTGTCGGCTGTATGCTCCCTATAATTCTTAGCGTTTTCTGTGCCTTGCACCTTGCATTGTCTGTTTTGACTGTGGGCGTAAGTACCACCGTCATGTTCATTCATTTCTGTCGTCTTTCCTCTTTGTCATTCATTCACTTCTTCACTAACGGTACGGTGCGATGGACCTATAATCCTTCCAACTCGCGTCGCTCTCTAAGCACCTCCCACGTTACAATAAAATAAAGGAAATACGTGAACTTTTATTTCACCACGAAATACATTTTTTATCAGCTTTCTGTTGAACATGGGAGTTTCTTAGAAAGTACTCGCTGTTCACGGCACTGCGGTCTGAACAATCGAACAATCTTGTCAAAAATCAGATGCACGTAGTAAACTCGATCTGGGCAAACGAGCCATTAGACTTGATTTCTTTTCTTTGCATTTTTGTTGTTATTGCTCTCCGATTGTTCGAAGTTTGTTGACCGCAGAGCGCCGTTCATGCAATGCTTCTCACGCTGGTTGATGGTCCGCAGGTTGCCCCTCATCACCCCGGACCGCGTCGCCGCCGCAGTCGTGAGGGGAGTCCGCAGGGAGAGCATCTCCGTCACCATCCCCAAGTTTCTCTTCTACCTCATCGCCATCTCAAGGTGAGTGCTCCAGCCGGCTGCGTAGCGATCGGCGTGACTTATGACAAGCTGTTTGTGTACAATTGCCCCGCGCTGCGGTGTTGTTGCAGATTCTTCCCCCAGAACGTGATCGACATCTGGAGAGACGTCTTCTACACCCACATCACCCCTCCCAACAAGATCGCTCCTGCCGCGCCCGCCCAGGCAAACGGCACCGCGAGTTCCAACGGGATTGCTCAAGGGACGTCATCAGTTGCCAACGGCGCCACCAACGGTGCTGCCAACGGCGCTGCGAACGGTGCTGCCAACGGCGTTGCCACCGAGGTCAAGAAGGACCTTTGAGCCGGTTCGGCACAGCTCAGCTGCTGAGACTGAGACTAAGTTCATCTTCCGGCGAAGGTTTAACTCCGTCCGTCGTGCGGCGGTATGCCGCCTACCTCAAAGACTGCCCTGTGTGCAACGAGTGCACTGTGACGACCGCCATGCCAGGCTAGAAAACAGTCCCGACTCGACGCGACCAGCCGGAATCATCGGGCACCGGCGTCTCTGTATTAAGTTTATGTGACTTTGTGGCGTCCTCACGATTGCTGTGGACAAGGACAAGAAAAAGGCTTCGCTCGACCTTTTGCCGATCGGTGCAGTTGCTCAATTTAGTTTTGTGTTATTGTAATTGGTACCTGCTAGTCTCAGAGGACCGTGTAAGAGCAGTTATCTCCATGACAAACTGGAGCCGTGGTTAAGTACTGTAATGTCTCCACACATTATTTTTTCCGCGATTCGTAGCGAGACGTTACAGTACGGGAGGGCATGACATCAGATAATCCAAAGATACTGTTCTGTAAACTTGTTTCAATTATTTTAATTGAAATAAATGAAGATAGTGGATTAGGAATCTAGTTGTGAGACGTTCATCTACTGTTTTAGACCATGCTGTTGACTACAGTACTTCAGAATTTTCGCTTTATGGCCACAGACCAATGAGATGTGCGTCAGAATCTAGGTAATTTCTGTGTTGGCCGTGTATAAATCATACGGTCTAACAAAGACAAGATTTATTTGTTGTAAAACAAAATAGGTTAAGATTATCACATCACTGTAAAATAATTAAATATTTACTCTGTGCGTGAGGAAATGTTATTTGTTTAAATAAAATAACAAATGAATCTATGACATTGTTATTACCCCGTCTGTCGTTGCACTGCTAACGCTCGCCGTAAATGCTCATGCCCCTCTTTCCCTGCCCCACCCCAACAAAAATAAAATAAAAATGGGGCAGTGCTTTCCTCATCCCACCGCAGAACGACCCATCCGTAACTGTCGGCCCGGAGATCAACGCCCGTTCGGCGCGATTATCTTTTTTTGTCCACTTCTAAAGCAGGACCGAGTTCTGAACTCAACGACGCGAGGAGGAGCTGGTAGCCGAGTGGTAAGCGTTCTAGGCTATGCTCGTAGACCCCATCGGACCAGGGGTCTAGAAAGCATTGCCTACCCTCCAGGCGTTTTCAGCGACAATCATCGACCCACGCTTAGATTGACACGGCGTCACTTCTTAGCTTGAGAAAGGATTTATGAGCCTGGGGTCAATGGGAGCCTAAACGCAAAGTCCCCGTCACGACAGACGCCTTAGAGAGAAGCCGTGTCCTACCTCGCAGGCGTCCAAGAGGCAACTCGTGTCGCGGCGACAAGTGGTAGTAGACACGTCCCTGTTCATGGACACAAAAATGTGGTCACAAAAGGGGCAACATACGATGTCCAACGCCAGCAGCCACACGCCCCTTTTGTGGTTAAACAGTTGTAGCTACAGTCGACATGACCGCATTCATCCGCGAACCAACATTGTCGGCCCTAAGATCAACTCCCGGGCGGGGCAAAATTTTCTTTGTCGCTTTTTGTCTCCCGTTGGGAAGGGCCGAGCTCAGACCTCGGCCCCGGAACAGCCAGCTGGTAGCCGAGCGTGTTAAAGCATGATCGGTGGCAGATCGTGGGGATGGTCGGTAGTTCGAATCTCGTCTGCGATCATTTTTCCTGCTCTGCTGGCCAAGTGTCTTCGGGCGTCAGTCACAGCTGAGATCTGCATGCGGCCGAAAGATTATGTGTTCTGTATCGTTCCGTCGTGGCCAAGTCGGTAGCATCCGGGCCCGGTATGAACCTGGTCGCTGGTTCGAATCTCGGCCGGGGGAAATTTTTCGCGCTCCGCTGGCCATGACTTTGCACCCGTGCGACACCTGATGTGATGGGTCGGTACGTGAACAGTCGCTGGTTCGAATCTAGTCGACGGAACCCTTTTGCCCCTCTGCCAGCTGTATGTTTCGGGGTGTGAGCCATAGCGGAGATAAGCTTCGACTCTTCTGAAGCCTCATTGGCTCAGTTGGTAGAGCGCGCGCCCGGGACGCGCATGGTC